AGCTTAATTAAAGTCATGGTATTAAATTTGTTTGTTTGAGTTACTTTAGAATATTAAATTGCACAAATGAAGTCGTTATTTTCTACTCCCTCCGTCCCATTTTATAACGCCTGTTTCGGTTTACGATGTTTGACTGAAGTTATTTTCAAATCATTTTATATGACAAATGGTATAGAGTTAAAAAATAAAAATTACATATCAAAATACTACATCAAAAAATCTATAAAACTAGTAGTGACAACAATATTTTATTTTATCAAATTGCTAACGAAAATAGAGAAAGAAAGTGAATGAAGTTTGACCTTGTGAATAGTGAACAAGCATTATAATTTGGGACGGAGGGAGTAGTAAAAAATAATTTCATATCATATTAATAAACCAAATCAATTATCAATCAAAATTTTAAATTTATAATTGAATACCTCAAACATATTGTTACTACATGTTTTATTTGTTCTGTTTTATTAAGGATATCTTTTAATTTTAATTTAATCTAGAGTTTTTTTTCACAAGAGTTAAATTTACTGCTGATTTTATTTGTTTTAAAAGTTACTCACTATAGTTGGACTTGTGTGTGAAAGGTTTGCATTCTCTTAATCATCAGTGCTTATAATCATTCACATACCTTAATTAATGACCTGGTGCTTAGAATTATTCGGCTACTACAATAAAGGGGCAAAAAATCAAAAACTGCTTTCATTGAGTGTTGAACTCAACACCTCGCACATACTATAACCAACAGAGCTACGAGAGCTGTTGTTGCAGTCGTTGTGCTTTTGTAAAATTAACTTATTAGTATGCTCTTCGAAACCAATTGAACACAGCTTAGAAAAGTAGTCCTGTTGCAAATCTGATTTACTTAAAAAGTTAAGAAAGTTTTGTGCGATTATCGTTGTTGATTTTGTTTCTATCATATCTGAAGAATTCAATTTCACATTTGACAATTATTTGAAGGAGAGAATTTTAACAAATCTGATTATTTGTGTGATTAATTAAAATTTATTCAAAAGAGAAAAAAAATACTCCGTAAGAAACACATTATTTTTAAAACTTTACCCCTGAACGTTAAAAAGTATATCAAATATCAATGAATTTTTTTAAAATTGTGCATTTTGCCCCCTCAAAATTAAAAAGTGTACCAAATACCCTTGAACTTTTCAGAAATTGCAAGGTTTACCTTGAACATTTAAATAAAGACGATAATTTTGAGAAGGATATCTTGGAGAATTCACTAGGGTTAGATGAATCGTACTCGCAATTTCTGTGCATGAGATCGACACACTCCTTATCTAGCATTTTAGCACTAACGGTGCAATGTTTTAAATTGTTCGGGGGTATTTAGTACACTTTTTAATGTTACGAGTTAAACGGTACTGTGTATTTTTCTTTTCTTAAAGTTATAAAGTTATATAAAGGACTAGCTAATATCGCACTTTGTGCGATAAGTGCCCAAGGAAAAGAGTGTGATAAATGTCTAATATAAGGGAAAAATAGAGATTTTTTAAAAAAATAAATTTTAAGAGTAAACAACAACTCAGGTCTGGGGAGGGTGTGTGTACACAGACCTTGCCCTACTCAGAAGTAGGGAGGCTGTTTCCAAGAGATCCCGGCTCCACCTGCACAAAAATATGGAAGGGAACACAATATAACACAGATAAAGCACCAAGTACAAGCAACAAGTACAAACAATAGCAGAAGATTCCACACAAATACAACACACCACAAAACAACATCTACAACACCGAGCTCCTACCCAGTTACTATAATCCTAGTTTAAAAGTAAACAATTTTATTAAAAAAATGAAAAAGAAAAAAATCAAGATGAAAAATGATGATTCTAGTATTGACAAAGTACATAATAAAAAGATAACGCAAGAAGAACATTATTTTATAGTTACATTTTTTTGACCTTTGTCCTTCGAGCCATTTTGGAGCTAGTGTTTGCAAAAGAGACATATTAGATTCATCTCCTTCAATATCAACGTACTCCATTTAGAATGTTACATCTCTCTTTACAACCACAAAAATTTTAACATATGAAACATTACAAAACTTTTAGTAGAGTGGTTGTTAACAATTCTTGTACTTCAAATATTTTTTTTCAATTCATCATGTTGAGCCCAAGAAATCAAATAAAAACAATAGTACTCCGTAATAACAACAATAGTAATAAAGCAAATTATTCAAAAATAAAGAAAGCAACAAACACTTAGGCACTTAAGCACATTATTGTTCAAAAACATGTTTTCTTTTAATACTTCTTATAAAATAATTGCGATTTCTAGTTTTTTATTACTATCTAATGTTAAAATATGACCTAAATAAGTATACATGTTATGTGAATTTTGTTATATAAGCCACCTGCAATATTTAATTCTCAAGCTCCTTAAATTATACTTTCTCTAAGAATAAAAAAAATTATACAATTTGAAATGAAATCACAAATTCAAACTAAACTTACATTTAAATAAGAATTGAATTGAATTATAAATCTAACATCAAAACCTACATGTAAAAAAGAATTGAATTATACAAAAATCTACACTAAACCAAAAACCATCACTAAGTTGTGGGTAATGGGCAAGAATCTAGAAATAAAAATGAAATGCATTCAACCTGCAAGTAAGAAATGATGTTTGAATGCAACACAAATACTCCGTAGCTAATACTCCCTCCGTTCACTAGTTTTTGTCCACTTTTGACTTTTGGAACTATTCATCTAAGCACTTTGGCTCATCAAATTCTCTCAATGTGTAAGCCTAAATATAGTCATGTGTAATCTTGTTTGATTTGTCTTAACATATAGATTAATAATATATAATTTTTATAATTTTTTAATATACAAATTACAAGATAAAATGGATTAAAGAAGTGTATTGGATGGTGTGTAAAAATGAAAGTGAACAAAAACTGGGGGACGGAGAGAGTAACTCCTAAATCTAAAGAAGAAAATATTTCCAGAGATCAAACTTTCAAAACACCCACTTTTAAAAAATCTATACTATTTAATGAACTCCTAAAACACCCACTTTTAGAAATTAGAACGAAATTAATTGCATATCAGAATGCATTGCAGTAGCATTCACTTTTGGAGAATTGGATTAGTCATTAGAGATCATACAATGCAAAACAAATTTGAAACTCCCAAAATGAAAATTATACTCCGTATCAACTACGGAGTATTAAATTTCAAAAAATCTCTAAAATTTGACTTAATCCAAAAAAAACTGGAAAAGAAATGTAATAATAGTACGTTTTTCAAACAAGTTTGAATCTAACATCATATCAAACTCCTATAACCCAAATAACATTGATACCAAATTCAAATCTTGAAATATATATCAATTTTTGAGAAATACTCCGTATAAATTAGTCATCCTCCAAAAACCAAACCAAATCAACACAAGAAAAAGAATTACTCCGTATGTTTGAATCTAACTCAATTTGAATCTTCTAAATGAACAATAAAAATGCAAACCAATTTCATGGGATTGACATTAACTAAAAGAAGAAAGAAATTATGGTCATGTGTAATCTTGTTTAATTTGTCTTAACATATACTGTAATTTATTCATATATAATTTCTATAATTTTTTAATATACAAGTTACAAAATAAAATGGATTAAAGAAGTGTATCGAATGGTGTGTAAAAATGAAAGTGGACAAATACTCTGGGACGGAGATAGTAATTTTTTGGACATTCGAAAACAAGCAAATGAATTTAAGATGCTCCATCCGATTCAAATTCAACTTTCACGTTTACTTTTTCACAAGTTTAAATGGAAGTTTATCATTGAAATTTATGTAAAATAATGTTAATCCATAACAATAATAATATTTATCATGAACGTTTTTGCGGAACGAAAGTGGAAAGTACTCCGTAGTTATTACAATGGATACTTTAATCTATAAAAATTCTATATGCTCCGTATATGCTGTTAGGTAGTACCATGTTTGGAACTTTGATTGTGAGGCTCATCAAACAAAGCAACCAAAAAGGAAAACAAAATAAAAGTCAAAAATGACTCAATGAGAACTACCATACTTCGCACCTCATCCCATCCCTGCAATACATCTTCAATGGCTTGGACGAAAGCGGAAATCTTGTAGGTGAAAAATCCAACCAACATTGGGATCAACTCAAGGCGCATCAGTCCGTATTCGGGGACCACAATCCTTCACAAAAAGAATACGATTTCGAGGGTAAAATTGTCAATACAAATACATTGACTAATCCTCATATATGTCATATAATCAACAACAACGACAATAAAACTCTAGTGTCATCCCAACTTTATTGGGGTATGGAGTCAAGATGTACGTAGTCTTATCCCCGAGAGGTTTCCATTAGACCATTGAAGCATTGTTTCATTTACGATCCAAAACTTCATAGGAAGTTAAAAAAATATGTCAATTTGATACACTCAATAATTTAGTTGAAGCTAAAACATTGTTAATAATGAACCTTTTAGCTTCATTGACAATATTGTTCACAAATATGGACAATACCTATACCTTTTTTTTCCTGTTTTCCTTTTTGAACAATGTCTCGTATCTATCTTCCTCTTTCACAACTAAAAGACTATACCCATACTTTAGCATTATCCACCTTTCTTAGATCCATCTTGAATTTACTACACCACCAAGGGCAAAAATAGAAAGTCAAACATTTTTTCATCTTACATAAAAAACGTGTCCAAGTCAAAACGAGAAAAAAGATATAAGACGGATGGAGTTACTTAATGCTAACAAGAAAAAGATCTTACCCGTTCCACCGGTTATAGATCATAACCAAAGCAACAGGAATCAATAGGCTTGGCTGCCCTACAGCTCCTCTGAAAGGAAAGGCAAAAGTATTAACATTCGTGTAAGCTACTTATTGAAAGAAACCCAAGCACACCCCGCCCCTTCCTCCTCCTCTCAAAGTGGGAAGGGGGGGGGTACTAAAAGAAGCATGATATAAAACAGAGCGTACTTCACGAGCACCGGGGCTCCTTGCGTTTGTATGGAATCCACACTGTTCCCAAGCATGCGCAAATATGCCAATGACCCAAGCAAGCCGACGCCATAGCTGTATACATTATGAGATAAAATGACATTTGCTTTGAGACTTCGAGTCGCACAAATTTATAAACACTTGTAGCCTTGGGTGGGAAAACCATATCGGAATTCCTTGTTCTATTATCCAATTTTATTTTATGATGTCAATCCCTAAATATATTTTGTGCGTGTGCATTTGTGTATAACTAATCAGCAAACAGAAACAACAAAAAGAGCCACAAATTTTAAATAAATAAGCAATAAAAAACACAAATAAAGGGGAAGAACCTTGCTGCAACTTCGGGAGAATATGAAACATATGCTGAGATGACACCGACACCACCAATGCCTAAGGTGAGCAGCTGCAGTTTGTTTTTCAACTGCACTAAAATGTAAAATGCATACTCCCATTTATGATAAGAGAAGAATGGGAATAAATTAACAACAAAAACAACAATGCCAATAGAATCCCACAAGACAAACATACCTAACCCTTACTTGGAAGTTTGGCTCAACACAAAAGCACACCTAAAGTAAAAACAGCACTAGACCCAAAGCACAGAAAGCACACGGGCACATGCTAAAAGCTTGGGCAACACTGAAAAACAAAAAAAAACAAAAAAAAATCAGAATATACCTTTATGTGTTCTTTCATAGACTGAGCTGCCAATACTTCAGGGTCCCCATTGGGATGTCTCAGCTCTCTGAGCATCAAATCCTGCGAAACCCTAAAATTTCGTCTCAATGAACAGATGTAACATTTTTCTGTTATCTTATGGATCAGCACCATAAAAAAATTAATGTGTTTCATTTTCATGGAGTTTAAGAAAAAGTGTGGAAAAGTGAAAAACAAGTGTGGTTGGAATTTGTAAAGATGAAAGAGAACTTTTCTAAGCAACATATTCTTTTCATTTAAAGGATTGTGCAAGTTTTTTGGTAGCGATTAAAATGGAAAGAACAGAAATTTTTGCGGTACGGAAGGAGTAAAATGTATGCCCAGTGAAAAGTTCATAACAATGGAAGATGGCATACACCGCCACTGGTTGCTGCCCTAGTAGCACTGTTCCACTTCTCCTGCTCGCGTGGTGATTGTTTTTGTCTCCATGTTTGATACGTGCTCTTGTCAGTCTGCAAATCATTTCATTTGGAACTGTTATATTGGGCCAAATTCACCACAAAAGGATACTCAAGATAAAAAAGGGTTATCTCACACTAATTATATACTCATACTAGTTTTAGACTCAGATGCAGACATTACATGTGGTATAGTCAATACCCCAATGGGTTGAAAGAATGGGCCACGATCGAACGAGCGATTGGCCCACAAAGACCCTTAAATTGAACATAAGTCGTATCAAAAGAATCCTTACTCTATGTTTGGGTGTGGGAATTGCGAAAGGAATTAAAATGCTAAAGAAATGAAAAGAAAGTCAGAGAAAAAACAACTTAATCTTATCTGGTCGCTAGCAAAATTGGTGAGATTTTTTTTTCACCAATCAATTCTTTGAATGATAGGGGGAAGGTGAGGTGGGCGAGAAGGTGGAAGGGAAGGGAGAAGATTGTTATTTTCTGTCCTTGTCCTCACCAAAAAAGATAGAAATCGCATTTGTAATTTTACATCACGTTTCCATTAACTTTTATTTTTCTTTGAATTTAACATAACATTTCCATTACCTTTTCTCTTTCTTCCAATTTTCTTCTTTTTCTTTTTAACCAAACACCAAAATTGCCACTTTTTTTTTTCCTTTTTTCTTTTCTTTTCCTTCCCAAATTCTTTGAACCAAATAAAGTCTTAAGAAATTAGGTTTATCTCCTACTTATATACTAGACTCAAACACAATAGACAACCAAACTCAACACGAACATTGAAAGTTGAAACTGAAGGATGAAGTAAATAGCTCCAAAGAAAGGTGATATCACACTTCAATTTCCTCAGCTTTTTCTGCTCAGAAAGGTTTTAAAGGCGACGCTAGTTCCTTGCTCAAGTCCACTTCCAAGCTTTAAAAAACCCAAAGTTCAATAATATTATCATAAGAATAAATCATTTACAATGACACACAAAAGAAAAATAGCAAAAGGATGCCTACTTGTCAAGGTTCAATACGCGGTTTATGCTAAGAAATCCATGCGTTGTCTCTTCCCGTGTGAAACCCAACCAAGAATGAGCATATCAACACATGTATAAGTTCTATGGACAATGAACAATTAAGAAAAATGGGTATCTTGTTACCATACATAGCATTACAATTTGTTATGCAAAGAGTTTCTCCACACCAAAATGATACAATATCAAATCATTCTTATCATTTGTGTTATGACAGACGCGAGAAAGTATGAACACAAACAATTGACAATCATGAAAAACAACAGAGATTTAACATGGTTTACTAACAACTTGTTAGTAACCTCCACGGACAGAAGAGAAACAGATTTATTGATCAGATTTTCTCACCAGATTACAGATTTTCTCTACCATGTATTGAGGAGTACAAATACAAGCCATATATATAGGGAAGGGGATATGGGTAATCCTAATCCTACTATATATCTAAAGATGAGATTAGGAAAGATATTCAAGGCATTTTCTAACAAATCTCCACCTTGACTTGAATCTCCTCAAAAGATAGCAGATGTATCATATTCCCTTCCAGAAGTGACCAGATGTACCATAGGTACCTGAAGTCCAACCAAGGACGCAAATGTCACTAAAAGACAAGAACAGATTGTTTCACTTGAGTTCAGAAGTGTAGTGACACACCAAAACAGATTTCCCTCACTCATGGGAACAGATAACTCAAGCTAAAACACCAACAGATGCAAACTCCACTTTGAGTCCAGATGACTCTTCATGGAACCTGAACAAAAACAGATGACACTAACCTAGTGTCCAGATGGCTCCTCCTCCTGAAGCCCAAATTGCCCTTTATGGGGCCCAGATTGCCCCATACGAGCCCAGATCGCCCCATCGCGGGGCGCATATCGCCTCATTGAGGCGTAGAAACAGATGATTCTTCTAGGTGATCAACAGTCTCAATCCGTGCAGATGGAACCTCCACCTCAACATTAAGACTTTCATCACCTCTATGAATCTCAGATGCAACACTGACAGATCCTTGTAGAAGATATAAGGTACCATGCTTAATACCTTTCAGAACCACCTTCGAATCCTTGTAGACACTCATAACTCCACCTTTACCTTCGAAACTGAAACCCTTACTGTCGAGACGAGGCAAGGATATCAGATTCTTTGTCAAAAGTAGAACATGCCTAACATCATTCAAGGTGCAGAACATCTTCCTCTCCCAAAAATAGAGTAATTTCGGTCAAATCACAGGAAAGTCCAAGTCAAAGTCCAAATGGCAACTCAATTGGAAACAAATCAGCCCAGAAGATCCACCCACCAAAAAATATACCACGGCCCAAAATATTTCAAGCCCAAACAGATGTGATGGCTACACAGTACCTCCAACTTCTCCCCCTTTTTTTTTCGATCAGAATTTTCAATTTGGCCGCACCAGACCGTGGGAGCAAGGGAAGTAATCGGCGGCTCTTCTAACGGAAGTTCTAGACGGACCAGCGGCAGCGACACCAACTGGACAACGGAAATCTGCGGCGACGGCGACTGAATTCTCTTCGAACAAGCGGCGTCGATATGAGAACGGCGGTGGCTCCTCTCGCTCCTGTCGCGTTCAATTTTCCAGCGGCGGCGATCTGTGCTGCTCGCGATGGTCAACTGACAGCGGTAATCTGCCTTCTGCGCGACGACGGTAGCGGCGCGGCTCAGATCTCCACTCAAGCGGTGGCTATTCTACGGCGGCGCCTGGACGGATCAGCGGCTACTCCCGCGTGGCTGACGGCGGTTCAGGGCTGCGCGTGGATCCTCAATTGAGCAACAGAACAACGGCGACTTCTCAACGGCTTCCCCTGTGACAAGTACAGCTCGGGTGTTGGTCGTGTTCTTGTGTTGAACAACCTCGGCTCTGATACCAGTTTGTAGTTCTGTTACGACAGACGCGAGAAAGTATGAATACGAACAATTGACAATCATGAAAAACAACAGAGATTTAACGTGGTTTACTAACAATTTGTTAGTAACCTCCACGGACAGAAGAGAAACAGATTTATTGATCAGATTTTCTCACCAGATTACAGATTTTCTCTACCATGTATTGAGGAGTACAAATACAAGCCATATATATAGGAAAGGGGATATGGGTAATCCTAATCCTACTATATATCTAAAGATGAGATTAGGAAAGATATTCAAGGCATTTGCTAACAATTTAACCTTTAGCTTGTGTTTGGAAATATGAAAATGGTAGGATAGTAAAAAATGCTTAGGATTTTTTTAATGGTTGGTTCTCTCTTGGAAAATGCAAAGGAAAACCCAATTTTATTTAGATTTCTTGGTCTATAACCTTTTTCAAATTTTATGTCCATTGCCAATGGAGCTAAAGAGACTTCCTTTGCTTGTTACCTTCTATGAAGTTTTGGGCAATAAATGCAACAATGCATCAAAGGTTTAGCCGAAACACCAATATTTTTACAAGAGTAAGGCGGGGGTACATCTCGACTCCAGCGGAGTTGGGATTATACTGGGTTTTTGTTGTTTTTACTGTCAATATTAAAAATATGTAATAAAATGTGTTAAAACGAATATCTAAAATTTATTTATTGAGTTTCAACTCAATTTTTACTATTAGCCCCACATGTATCTTCTTCAAAATTTCAACTCTATTTAATTTCCCATCATTTTCCTTGTTTCAATACGTTGAGGATACAATCCACATCGAACACTCTGTAATGGTATGCACTAGGAGTAAACAATTCTACATAATACTCTGCAATAAAACTTCTAGGAGTAAACAATTCAAGAACAGCCCATATACACAAATGAAGCAAAAAAAATAATCAATTGTAGACTGGGTTTCTTTGGGAACTTTTATCAAACAGGTTGTGAGCAACCTTAATAAGAAGAAATATATGAAACTAATATAAATTGGAGAACTCAGGAAATCAACAGAGGAATCAGAAAAGAACTTGATAATATATTATTCCATAGGAAAGCCAATTTATAGGCTGTGAAAACAAAGAAAGTGGATACAAACTGATTTACTAGAAATAAGGAAATCCACAGAATGTGGCCAGCTACTTCCTTAAGAATAGGACAAAATAGTTTACTAAAGAGATACTGACTTATTCAATAATACTACTAAAAATACTGACTTGTTCAAAGACTTATTCAACATTCCCTCCCTTAAGCTGAAACATAGAGAATGTTTTCAGTTTATGTAGGTTCACAAACGCCAAGCAGCTTCATTAACCTCTGAAAAACAGAAATCTTCAAAGCTTTTGTCATTATATCCGCAAGTTGATCTTCACTTCTGCAAAATAAAAGCTCGATGGTTCCATCTCTAGCGAGATCCCTGAGAAAATGAAACCGTACATCAATGTGCTTGCATCTTCCGTGAAATACTGGATTTCTTGACAGTCTTATAGTTGAACTATTATCGCAGTAAATCGGAGTTATCCCTTGCTTGAAATGCAAACATTCAAGAATATTCCTGAGCCAAATAGTTTGACAAGCACATCCCGCTGCAGCTACATATTCAGCTTCAGTAGTTGATAAAGTAACAATTGCTTGCTTTTTAGAAGACCAGGAAACTGCTGCTGAGCCCATCATGAATACATAACCAGATGTACTCTTCCTGTCATCAAGGTCACCTGCATAATCACTATCAGTAAAGCCATAAAGTATTGATTTCTCGCCCTTTTTGTAAAGGAGGCCATATCCAATAGTTCCCTTCAAATACCGAAGTATCCTTTTTGCAGCTTGAAAATGCAATTCATCAAGGCAATCCATATACCTGCTGATGAGGCTAACTCCATGCATTATATCAGGTCTTGTTGCTGTTAAATACATTAGACTACCCACAATCTGCTTGAATAAAGTATTGTCTACTTCACTTCTATCAGATTTCTTAGTTAGCTTCAAACCGACCTCAATTGGCGTACTGACTGGATTACAATCCTTCATTTGAAATCTTTCCAGAATTTCTTGTGTGTATTTCTTCTGGGGAGATGAATATTCCAGAGGCAGTTTGCTCAACTTCAATGCCCAAGAAGAAATGCATCATACCAAGATCAGACATTTCAAACTCATGCATCATTGAATTCTTAAATGCATCAAACATACCCACATCATTTCCAGTGTAAATGAGATCGTCAACATATAAGCACACAATCAGAATTTTCCCATCTTTACCCATTTTAACAAATAAAGTGTGCTCATAGGGACATTTTAGAAAACCTTCCTTTAAAAAATAAGCTTCAATACGACTATACCAAGCACGCGGTGCTTGTTTTAGCCCGTATAAAGCCTTTTTCAATTTGTAAACTTTTCTCACATCTTCAGATCTCACAAAACCAGGAGGTTGATCAATGAATACCTGTTCTTGAAGCTCACCATGCAAGAATGCTGATTTCACATCGAGTTGATAAATAGGCCATTCATGTTGTGCTGCCAAGGCAATCACTAATCTGATTGTGTCATGCCTTGCAACAGGAGCAAATACCTCTTTATAGTCAATCCCAAATTCTTGCTTGTAACCTTTAGCTACCAGGCGTGCCTTGTATTTATCCACTTCTCCATTTGCCTTCAATTTGGTTTTGTAAACCCACTTCACTCCAAATGTTTTGTGCCCTTCTGGAAGATCAGTAAGTTCTCATGTATTGTTCCGTTCAATGGCTGCAATCTCCTCTTTCATTGCATTCTGCCATTTTGGATCATTTGCAGCTTCTTCAAATGTAGTAGGGTCACAATCTGAAAACAATACAAAATGAGTAAGTGGATCCTCTCCTTGGTCATCCCCAGTTACCTCATAATCAGCCATCCATGCTGGTCTTCTTCTAGTTCGCTGAGGATGCTCTGTTCCAGTTGTTGTGGATGAATCAGGAATAATATTTGAGCTAACTGGAATTTGCTGGTCATTCTCTGCAGATTGGTACTCCTGTGCACCTTCATCATTTTCATCGATGTTGACAGAAACTTGCTGCTCAACATGATTTTCATCCCATGGCCA